ACACTTTCCGCAGAATCACTACGAGTCATGAAATGGATGATCGACGCATCTTTTGCGGTGCATCCAGATTTCAAGAGCCATACTGGCGGCACTCTGTCCTTTGGAGGAGGTGCAGCTCAAGTGATGTTGAAGAAACAAAAACTAAACAGCAGAAGCAGTACAGAAGCGGAACTGATTGCTGTTGACGATGTTGTCACGATGATACTATGGACAAAGTTGTTCATGGAGTGGCAAGGGTATCCGATCAAGAAGAATATCTTGTATCAGGATAACAAAAGCGCGATTCTACTGGACCCACCGCAAATTTTGCGTTGCGGGCGACTGCAAGACGTTTGATAGAGTCGACCAACTCGAAGGAGTGGTTAATTAAAAGGGGCAACCTTTCCTCCCCTGAATATTATTCAGATCATTATTTCGTGCGTGTAGAAATCCTACGTTACATTTTGCGTGAACCAAGTTATGTTTAACGAACACACCATTTAGCGCGCTTTTGATTGCGTCCACTGTGTCGAAAACCACAATTCGGACATGAACAAATCGTTTAGGTTTCCAGCAAGTTCAAAAGAATCGTTAGAGTCCACAAAAAATCGTTTGGATTCACAAAAAATCGTTTGAGTTCACAAAAAATCGTTTGGAGTCACAAAAAATCGTTTGAAAAAATCAGCTTGCCCTAAACGATTTCTTCTTACAACAAGCCATCCTCTTTGGTACTTGATGGTCTAATGTTGCTCTCATGTGACTACTAATCTAGGGTTTAGCAAAATCATATTGTGCTTCACTGTTTCCTTCAATTTCACATCGTTCACATTAGTAGTACAAACCAGGAAAAGCTGCGAGACACTTCTTCTTGCTTCAAAAACCACCATCCATGTATGTATCATTTATTGATTCATTTCATTTCTGTATCTTTTGCAGTGAATTGTTAGCCTACATTTTGCTTGACATTGTCGCTTGATGCCTTTGTACGCTATCCTTCTAGATACAAATTCAACAAACAAACAATTGGAATTCGTTCAAAAATTACCTAGTAGTACATCATTGAACATTTGTTTTCATTTTCCTCAGACAATTAAATTCTAGCTTCATTAGAATCGAACTATGAAAAGTAGGTTTATTGTTACATTTAAAAGTATGTTTGCTGGTTTCGAACTTCCATAAATTTCCGTGATGTCGAATTTGTATGGAGGAAGTCAAATTGAAATGCTGCATGATATTACTCCCGTACTCTGCAGGCGCTAGCCTTGGTCCAATATCCTTCCACCTTCAACAATGCCAGCATTCGTCCTGTCTCTATTACCTCTAGCTGTCGACCCAGCGTTGGTGGGCATGTTGATGATCGAGTATCATATCAGGGGAACCATAAGCAGCATCGCCTTGAGTAAGTGCCTGCTCATATGCATTGATTTCTTTGTTGTGGAAAACCTCATTGAACTTGGGATCACTCAATGTCTGGAACAACGAGATAGAGTTTTGCCAATGTCATGAGGAACGTTCAAGGAGACCACTCTCCCATCGATACGTTTTTCAAGTGACTTGAGTCGAGTCAACATCACCTTAATGTGACTAACCAAATCGTCCACGCTTTCTCCTTCATATTGATCAATGCAAAGTGTCTTGAGCTGGCCTTGAATCGTCTCCACGACGAGCTGAGAGTTGACTTGGAGGCGTTTCATCATGAAGAAGAAGACCAAGGGACCGCCCATTCCTTGGGTATCCCGATAAAGAAGAAGGTCTTCGAGAACTTTGCCCCATAATTGTGAAGTCATATGATTGCATAGATAATCATAGGACAGGCTTAAGTTCTCGCGGAACCAAGGACTGGTGGTTGCGTCGGGCCACCTTGTATACCACTTGCAGCTTTCTGCCACCTGGTCAGCGGTAAGTTCGGCGTAGCAATCGAACAGAAACACTGTCTTGGTCACGTTAAAATTATCCGTCTCTAACTGTCCCGTTTGTTCACCGATCGCATTCTTGGAAGGAAATACAATAGTGAAAACGTCCAGGACGTCATAGCGCTTGAAGTGCATTTGCATGTTGGCAAGGCCGACGCCAAGATCATAGCTTTCTTGAAGGTTTTGAACACTTTGCATGGTCTGCGGTTGGAGATCAAACGAGGTATGTTGATGCTTTGTGATGAGTTGAAAGAAGGCGTGCTTCTTATCTGCGTCCAATGCTGACCTGTTTTCTTTCTTCATGGCGACAAGCGAGACACCCACATCAGTTGCCGGGGTCGCCTGTGTCATGATGGTCACACCACCGATGGTGACCTGGTTGGCCTGATTGCGTGCTGGCATCGCGACTTGCGGAAGGTTCTGAACTTGCTGAGGGTTGGTGCTTGCTCGAGAGCCAGCCCTTGTCACAGGCTGTTGGAGGGTTCCTTCGAGGTCGTCTCAGAGATCTCTCTGAAGATGAGGGGTAGCTTCTTCCTGACAATCCTCTGAGGTGACTTGAGGTGTGGAAGCGTTCCTCTTCTTCTTAGATCGCTTCTTCTTGGAAGGAGTCGCCGGTTCAGGCATTGATGACATTCACTTTAGTTGTATCTACTCAGCAATACTTGGGCTCATAACCTGCGAGGATTGTCTGTAAAGGGACTTGAGGGACAGTCAAGGACACTAGACAATAGAGTTGTAATAGAGATAGGATTGCTATTCTTATTGATGATAGTTCATGAAAGTGAGGATTGCTCTGAACTTGAGCAGAGGATCCAGCAGTAGATACATGTAGAGAGTAGTATATAGAATTCGGGAGAAGAACTGAGGTGTCAAATGATCGTGAGAATTACCCAATCAGAGTAACCCACCGGTCCGATCTATTGGACTCGCGGTGCGATTTGTTTGACCTCAACACGACGCAAAATAAAATTCTCAAAACAATTCGATACATAATCGATAGACCTTGGTTGATTTCCCATATTGGTTGATTGATGGATTCCTTGATCTCTTTGGAAACAAAACAAAAGAATCGTTTGGTGAGAGAAAAAATCGTTTGGCACCAAAACAAATTGTTTGGAGAGAGAGAAAATCGTTTAGCAACCAAACAAATCGTTTGGCTAGAGAAAAAATCGTTTGGCGACCAAACAAATTGTTTGGCTAGAGAAAGAATCGTTGAAAAAAGTTGAAAAAAGTTAACGATTCCAAGTCCTGCTTTGACCGGATTGTCCACTGGGTGGGTGGCAATCATTAGCCTCATGCGCTTTGGGATCCAATGGCGTACCCTTCGCTCCATGTTTGATACACTGATGAAGTCTAAGCACCGGGTGCGTACGGGGTTTGGCGATTCAGACCGTGTCTTTA